TCGCATCCTCCCCATCGCCATCCTCCACATCGCCATCCTCCCCATCGCCATCCTCCTCATCCTCCCCATCGCCATCCTCACATCGCTATCCTCCTCCTCCTCCTCCTCCTCCTCATCATCATCATCGCCATCGCCATCGCCATCGCCATCGCCGCCGCCGCCGGCCACCGCCGCCGCCGACCACCGCCATCGCCGCCGCCGCCGCCGAGCACCGCCAGGAGGCGGCCGTCCTGTTGAGAGCCATCCTCGCGGAGGAGGCGGGCGGCGCCCCCGCGGGGCCGCGCGGCGGGGGCGGGCCCGCCGGGAGGCAGCCCAGCGGCTGCCAAGACGTGCTCCTCCTCCTCCTCCTCCTCCTCCTCCTCCTCCACCTCCTCCCTTACTCCTCCTTCTTTCTTACTCCTCCTCCGCCTCCGCCTCTGCCTCCACCTCCTCCTCCTCCTCCTCCCTCCTCCTCCTGCTCCTCCTCCTCCTCCTTCTCCTCCTCCTCCTCCTGCTCCTCCTGCTCCTGCTCCTCCTCCTCCTCCTCCTCCTCCTCCTCCTCCTCCTCCTCCTCTCTTACTCTTCCTCCTTTTCCTCCTTCTCCTTCTCCTCCAAGACCCTGCGCGGCGAGCTGCCGTGTAGGCGCGCATGACGCTCGAGAGGAGGCTGAGGGCCTACACCACGTTCTGGCTCCAGGACGTCTCCGTGCTCGACGAAGCTGGAGACAGAGCACACTGGCTGCGCCGGTGCGTGTCCTACGTGGCCGACCGGCTGATGCATGGTACGTGGACGCCGCTCGTCAGCGAGGCTGCTCGGAAGATCGGCATCGACAACATGGGCGTGGTCGGGCCCGGGATGGCGCATGACTTCTGCGCGGCGGCGTGGGCAGCACGGCGACGCATGCGGGCCAACCACCACGCCAACGTGCGCAGGCTGGCCCAGTCCGACGCGCAGGAGTGGGGGGAGCAGGTGGCGCGGCACGCGCGCTCCACGATCGAGGCGGAGGAGGAATTCAGCGCCCTGCCTGGCAGGCGTGCTGCAGCCGCCGCCCGCGGGGCCGCCGCCGCGGCGCCAGTGCCGCCGCTGGCGGCCGCGGTCTGCCCTGCGCTGTCGTCAGAGCCCGCTGCTCAGAGGTCGTCGCTGTCGTGTGGAGGGCGGGCAGCCGAATCGTCGAGTGCGAGGCCGCCTTCGGAGGAGTTGTGTACGAGAGGCCGGCTCAGCAGGACCGCGTCCGCTTCGGAGGTCGCGGGGAAGTTGGGGTCCCAGGTTCGCGGCGGAGCTGGGCTTCAGCGAGGTGAGCTGGATACTCGTGCTCGACGACCTTTCGTCGGTGCGCCGAGGGCCGCTGTGCTGGCGTCAGAGTCGACACGCGAGGAGGATGGCACTGTGGTGCGGATGGACCATGGGCCGAATCCCATGGATGCTGGCAAGCAGTTTGCGCTCAGGCTCACACCCAAGGAGCGCGGGTACCTCGCCTCGGTGGTGACCAACGGGCAGTGGAGTCAGAGCCGCAAGTTCGAGCAGGGCATGGCCGTGGGCGGCTCGTGCCTGCTGTGCGGCAAGGTCGGCACCTTCCTTCACAGGCGCTGCGGCTGCGCTGGTTGGCCGCCCGAGCTGCGCCTGCCTCACAAAGTGAGCATGCTGCTGGAGAAGGCCGACATGCCCGAGGTCAAGTGCTTGCAGGAGCGTGTGCTGTGGCCAGCCCCTATGGGGATCGTGAAGCCCAGCCCGTCGCCCCACATCTGCTGGCTGGGCGAGTGCGACGGGCACTTCCCGTCAGGCGAGTTTTTCCTCGACGGCTCGCAGTTCGAGGGCGACTACGAGCGGCATGCCAGCGTGGCCTGGGCCGTCGTTGCGCTCGAGCGGGACGCGGACGTCTTCCTGTGCGGGGCGTCGGGCATGCTGTGCGAGCCGCATGTGGACATCAACGGTGGCGAGCTCATAGCGTTCATCATGGTCCTCAGGTTCGCGGTGCCGCCCGTCACAATGGTCGTGGACAGCGGTTTCGTGCACCGCGGCCTCCTGGAGCTTGGGCCCAGGCGCACCACGGCGCATGGGGCGCCGTGGGCTCACCTCTGGAGAGGCTGCTGGGCGAGTTCGGCGGCCTGGGGTGCGACGGGCTGCTGGTCAGGAAGGTGCCTGCCCAGAAGCCCAAGAGGGGCATCGACCACGGCAAGAACACGTACAAGGACTGACTGGGCAACTGCTACGCCGACAGAGCTGCCAAGTCGGCAGCGGCCGCTGGGCGCATTCAGCACGCTGATCGGCAGCGCCTCGTCATGGCGGACAAGCTGGTCGAGGGCATCGGCATGTGGGTCTCGGCGGTGGGCGGCGCACCACGCACCGTGTCGCTAAGCCGAACTGCTCTGCGCCGAAGGCAGTGTCAGCGCAGCCAGCGGCGAAGCTCTCGTGCGACTGGCGAGGGCCTACTGGCAAGAGGTGATGCGGCCGCTGCAGGTGGGTCGAACGCACGAGCGAGTGCCCAGGCTCGATCACCGCGGCGGCGCTGCACCACAACGAGCGGCCCAAGGGCGACGGCCACGACGCGCACTTTCTGGTGCTGTGACGGCCCCTGCGCGAGGCCGACCTCGTGCGCGAAATGCCGCTCGTGGCCTGCGCAGCCTGCGGCGCCGTGGGCTCAGCGCGTGCGGCCAGCTTCGCGGCCCCCTGCAGCCACGCCTCGGCCAAGGGCAAGCTGGCCATCGCCAGGCTGGGCAAGAAGCTGGCGCCAGCGGTCTCGGGCAAGATCGCGGTGTCCATCGAGCCGCTGACGGGCTGATGGGCGAACCCCCAGCCGCGCTGGGCGTGCTGGCTCGGCCGACGGCCGATGAGCACGCAGTGGCGCTGGGTGGAGGCGCGCGGAGCCCGAGGGGCCGTCGCGCGCCGCGCACGCTGACCGTGCGGGCGCCCGCGGAGGCAGGCGCGAGGGCCCACTGCGCGTGGGGCGCGCGCGGGCGCGGGGGAGGCGGCACCGCTCCCGCGGCTCTGCCTCCTCCTCCTTCTCCTCCTCCTCCTCTCTTACTCCTCCTCTCTTACTCCTCCTCCTCCTCCTCCTCCTCCTCCTCCTCCTCCTCCTCCTCCTCCTTCTCCTCCTCCTCAGCGCCCCAGGAGGCCGAAATCGTGGGAAGGCGCCGTGATTGAACAACTCACCGTCGGAGATCGGGGAACGCCGCTCGGCGCGGGGCGGCCCGATCCCGCGCTTCTCGGCGCCGCCCGGCCTGAAGTGGTTCACTTCTTGCTCATCTGTGGGGCCCTCGTGGGGGGGGGGGGGGGGGGTCTGTGTCCACGATTGGGGGCGACCAAAGGAAAGCTCGCCGAAGAGCCCTGGGGGGGGGGGTCGCGTGGGCCAGTTTCTGGATGGGTTTGTAGGGGAGCAAAATTCGGCGGCGAGCGAGGGGTGGGAGGGAGAATGAGAAGGCCTTCTCAGAATAGGCGGCAAGGCTTCTCAGAAGCCCTCCGGCCTTCTGAAGAGTCTTCAATGTCTTCGGGGAAGGACTCGCAAACCTATCAGAAGGCCCGGGTACCTCCGAGACTTCTGAGGAGGCCTTCTCTTTTCTCACTTTCCTCCCACACTCGCCGCCGAAGAACAGCACCGCCACCCCCGCACGGCCCCCCTCCCTCCCCAGAAGGAGGGGCCTCGTGGGGTGGAGTATACTTGCCAGGGCTCGAGGTTTCTCAGTGTTTGACGCTTTCATGTTGCCTCCAGTTTACTTCGTTCTGTCTGCGTTCGGCCTATGCCGCGAGACGAATTCAAACCAAAAGTGTGCACGAAGTCGCCGAAATCACTTTTTCGCTCGAGCCCTGGATGCTTGCTCCGCGTCTTTCTTGCGGAACAGCCAAAAACCGTCGGGAACTGAAGCTTTGCAGCCAAGCCCCAGGGGGAGGAAGGCCAGGCGGGGGTGGAGGCGCGCGTTCTCGCCCCAAGCCGGGGCCCCGATCTCCCGGCGACTCTGCACATCTGCAGTGGAGGCCTATGCCGAGAGACACCCTGCCTGCCTCCAGGGTGCCCTGGGTGCCTTGGGCCTCGATGGCTCTGGTTACCGAAAGCGCGACGCTCCCACGCCAAACGTCCATGGACGTCCTCGGGTCTCAGGGTTGGGATTCTTGTGGTCGGCCCTCCTCTGCAAGAAGAGCGCGCCGTCTCGAGGCCAGTCGCCATTCCCTGTTGCCTGGAGGCCGCTCCGCGGTCGGCCCACGGTGGCCGCCGAGGCCGCCCCGCTGTGGTGCAGGTCGTGCTGGTGGCGCGTCCTGCGGTCGGCCCTGCGTCTTGCGTTAGGTTGTCGGACCAGCTCGTGGGCACCGATCGGCCAGACAAAAACGACTCCAACGAGGAGAGCCTGGAAAGGAGGGGACTAGCACAGTCCCCCTCGCTGGCGCGCGATGGGCTCGGAGGACGAGGAGAAGCGAGGAGAAGGAGGAGGAGGAGGAGCAGGAGGAGGAGGAGGAGGAGAAGCAAGAGGAGAAGCAGGAGGACAAACATGAGAAAAGAGCAGCCCAACCCACGCAGCCTCGCGTCGCTACAAAACACACGACGGAAGGTGTTTGGCAGGATTCGGTCTCCAGGGCCCTTCACCGGGCCCAAGCACCATCCGCAAAAAAGCGTGAAAAGCTGGTCCCCGGGAGGGGGTCAGACTTCTTAGGAGCCACGTTGCGAGACCATCACGACGTTGGATACCTGGAGAGGTGAAGGAGCAGAAAAGGTCAGGAAGGACGAGGCGGAGGAGGAGTGAGAGGAGGATGCGGGAGCGAATGAGGGGAGCATCGGAGAGCTGATGATACTGACACTGATGCTGATAATGCGCTCTGCCATGACGTACAGGAAGAGGTAACCTTAGGTCGGGCCTGTCCGCCTACAGAGGGGGATTTTGGGCGAAAATCAGAAAATACTCCAAAAATGCCCCCAAATACTCAAACATATTAAAAGAATCCCCCCCTGACTATATTTCTAATTATTTTTGAAGATCCCTCCTGTAGAGGGACAGGCCCGACTTGAAGGTAACCTGGTCATGGTGACCTGTCATGGCGGGAGGGCGAGGGAGGCGAAGATGCCCGACGCTGCCAACGCCGATGCTGCGCCGCTGGCTTGGCCTGCCGCGCGGGTGGTGGCAATTCTCACTGGGGGCCACGCTTCAGCACTCGCCAGGAAAAGACAGGCATGCAGAGAAGAGCGCGGCAATTGTCGGCTACGCGCAAGAGTGACCCTGCAGTAGGAGCTCGACCACAGGAAATCTTCCACGGGAAGCCCAACCCTGAGGCTCCAGGACGTCCAAGGACCTTTGGCGTGGGAACGTCACGCTTTCCGTAGCAAAACCCTCGAAACCCAAGACACCCTGGAGGCAAGCAGGCTGTTTCTTGGCATGGGCCTCCACTGTAGGCGAGAATGACCTTTGGTGCGCAGCCCAAGGGGGGCCCTTTGGGAATACTGCCAGGCGCGCGAGCCGCTGGCATCGCATCGCATTCAGCGATCGGGGGGGCCCATTTGGGGACACCACAAAGCACCGATACCGCGACTCCCCAGACCTCTCCCGGGGCGCGTTCTGACCAGGATTTCGCGGCGAATCCAGCGGCGGCGACGAGGGCCTCCCAAAAAGGGGAGAACCAGGGAAGGGTAGAGGCACGGTTAGGTCGGGCATGTCCTCCTACAGGCGGGCTTTGGAGAAAAAACAAGATAGCCCAAACAGTGCATAACAAATGATCAAACATATTAGAACATTGTTCCCAGACTATTGTTGTACTATGCTTTGAATTGTCCTCCTGTAGAGGGACACGCCCGACTTAAGCTACGGGTGCCTTCTCCTCCTCTGACCATTGGGCCTGCACCAGAGGTCACTCCAGCCAACGGCCACCTCCTACGCACAGCCGACAGTGGCGTGAAGCCGACGGGTCCGCAGGGAACAACGGGGCCCCGAGCTCCCCCCCCCCTAGTTAGGGTTAGGTCCGGCATGTCCTCCCACAGGCGGATTCTGGACGACAAGTAAGAAAAACCGTCCCCAGACTACTTTTCGAATCTGTTTCAGTATGCCTCCTGTGGAGGGACACGCCCGACTTCACCCCAGGGGGCCGCCTCTCCGGCCCCCCGTGCCGCTCCCCGACAGAAGGCCCCCCGCGAGGGAGCCCGCGCGAGGGACCGCCAAAGGGAGAGGCCAAGAGCGGCGCACAGGATCCCCGGGGAGAAGGCGCCAGGGACCTAAAGGCTGTTGTTCGGTGGAGGAGGAGGGGGAGGAGGAGGAGGAGGAGGAGGAGGAGGAGGAGGAGGAGGAGGAGGGGGAGGAGGAGGAGGAGGAGGAGGAGGGGGAGGAGGAGGAGGAGGAGGAGGAGGAGGAGGAGGAGGACATGCGCCAGGGCTGGACCTAAAGGCTGTTGTTCGGCGTGCTTTCGTTATGTGCCAAGTGCCCCGGGCACTAGTAGAAAGACCTGCGCCCGCGCTCCTGCGAGCTCGTCAGACAAATGCTGGTTGTTCAACACGTGTCATGGAATGCTACCCCACGTGCCCCTCGCGCGCGCGTGCCGTCGCAAGAACCCCCGGCAAAAAAGGCACGAAGCGCATGCGCCCGCGAGTCGCCGCGCGCGCGTGCCGAAACTGTCGGTTTGCTCTACCTGTTCTGGTGCACCACCCTGCCGAAGCGAAAAACAAAACATGGTCGCAGTCCAGCGAAACAGCGTTCAGGCCCAGCCCTGTGACAAGCACCGACGCTTTTACAGGGCCCCGCGCGGAGACTCGCACAGGAAAGAGGATCCTGGTATAGGGCGCATCCTGGTGTATACGTCGTTCGCTGTTTCCTCGGGGAAGGCGCGGGGGCGGGGGAAAAAGAACATGCACCACACTTGTGGGGTCCCAAACCAGGATAGCAGGGCGCTACAAGGGCGTGGAAAGGCCTTCCGGAAAACTCTGGAAAGACCTGCAGAGAGCTTCCGAAGGATCTTGTGGAGAACTTCCGAGCACGCGTGTTGGGAAACGCTTGCGGAAAAACGTCGTCCCCTAACCTAAAAAAAACCTTGGGATTCAGAAACGGCCCGCCCCTGGAGTGTTGAATCGGGCATGTCCCCCTACAGGCGGATGTTGGGCGAACTTTGATGGAAACAAACGCAAGACATGCTCAAAACTTGGTAAACATAGTAGAAACATCTCCCCCGACTATCTTTAAAACTGTGTTTGAATCTTCCTCCTGTGGAGGAACAGGCCCGACTTCATGGCAGCGCAGATGTTCCAGGCTCCGGCGCAGGAGGGCCCCGGGAGGCCCAGTGCGGCGCACGGCTTCCCCAAGAACCGTCTGCTCCACGGCGAGGGACCAGCTGCGCCAGGCTCGCGAAAATCCGCCACCGCGCCGCCTCTGGGCGCGGCTGGGGGGCGCGCCGTTACGCCGCGCCTGCCCCGCTCCCAAGGGCTGCCCTCTCCTCCTCCTCCTCCTCCTCCTCCTCCTCCTCCTCCTCCTCCTCCTCACAACGAGGGCATAATTAAGCATCCGAGGAACTTGGTCCGCATAGCTGGCCGAAGCTCGGCCATCCTGCCGATGCGGCCGCGGCAACGTAATGCCACTACGGGTATGTCACGTCGAGTGGTGCGGGGTTAAGGTGCCCATTAAGCCGTATCATTTCAAGTCCTTTTCCTCTTCCTCCTCCTCCTCCTCCTCCTCCTCCTCCTCCTCCTCCTCCTCCACCTCCTCCTCCTCCTCCTCCTCCTCCTCCCCCCTCCCTGGTCCGCGTAGATGGCCGGAGCTCGGCCATTCTGCGGTTGCGGGCGCGGCAGCTGTCTGCCAGACCAGGTATCCTGTGGGAACCAGCTCTGGCTTGGATGGCCAGCCCTGTTGGTTGACGGGCGTTGGCATCCGCAACCTCGAGCCTAGAGCTAGGATGCCCGCCCCCGTCTCCGGGGGGCCCTGCGGCATCCTGTCCTCGCAACGAGGGCAAAACTAGGCACCCGAGGAACCTGGTCGACATAGATGGCCGAAACTCGGCCATCCTGCCGTTGCGGGCGCGGCAACTGTATGCCACTACTGGTATCCCGCGGGAGCCAGACTTGGCTCGGATGGCCACCCCTGTCGATGGACAGGCGTTGGCATTCAAAGGCGGCGCTCCGAAAGGGGCAGGAGGACGGGGCTTGGCTTCTCAGCAGGCAGGGTGCTTCTCAGAAACCCTGGGAGGACTTCTCGTTCGTCCTCTGGGGGGTTCTGTGAATCACGTTTCTTACTAGATAGCCTTGCCCAGTCTCCCCCTTGGCCCTTTCCTCCTCCTCCTCCTCCTCCTCCTCCTCCTCCTCCTCGTCCTCCTCCTCCTCCTCGTCCTCGTCCTCGTCCTCCTCCTGGGGAGCGGCGTGCCGGAGCGGGGCGGGGCGAGGGCGGTCGAGGATGGAGGGCTGCGGAGAGTCGGACGCCGAGCTTTTGCGCTGGCGCTCCAGCTGTGTTTGGACCTCCAGAGGCCTCGGGGCGGGGCAGGGGGGAGGGGTGTCGGAGAAGGCAAGGGGGCCGTGGGCTCCGGGCGCGATTCTCGACGCGAGAGTGCCAGCGGACGCAGGGCGCACGAGGGGACTCGTGCAAGGGGGCCGTATCCATCGTGCTCAGCCTGCGCCGCCTCCTCCCTCTCCTGCACAGCCACGCGCCCGCGCGGATCCGACCCCAAGGGCCGTCGCAAGAGGCCCGCACAACGCGCGCCATGTCGCGCGCACGGGCTGTCCGCACCATGCTCGCGCGAGTGTTTTTTGGGGGGGGCATGCTCGAAGTCGCCATGCTTCTGGGAGAAGGGGTCGATGGGCTCCCGAGAAGGGGTCGAGGGCTCCCGAGAACGCCTCTTGGAGTGTCGGGGGGCGAGGGAGGGCCTCTGGAGAGGCCGCCCGGCCTCCGGGGAGGCCGCCGCCTTCTGCGCCGCCCCCGCCCGCGCCCGAGCCCGCACCGCTCCCCTCCGGGGTCCTCCGCACCCGCTGGGTGGCCCCAGGCTCGGCGCGCGCCCAGGGCGCCAACGCCGCAGAGCTCTGGGCAGAAAGGCACCCGGCGACGAGACGACGAGGCAGAGGAGGCAGGAAGAAACAACTTTTTGTTGATCCGCGGGTCGAGAGCGAGCCTCTTCCAGTCGAAGCTAAGCGGGTCGTGCACAGCTTTAATTAACAGAGGCAGGGAGAAAAAACACAGAACAGGCGGAACCCAGCTCTCGGGGGTCCGCACAGATTCTTGGGCCGGCGGCTGGAAGCCCCCCCCCCCCCCCCGCACCTTCCCTTCCCCTGCGCGGGGTACATGGGGAAGCCGGGGCTGCGAGGCCGCAGATTTTGGAGTAGCGGAGCCCAAAGATTGTTCGAAACGGCCAGAGACCAACCCCCTCCCTCCCTCCTCCCCTCCCCCTCCTCCGTACCAGCCACCAGCCGTCCAGCCCATCATTTCCTCTCTCCTCTCGGGCCACCAGCCAGCCTCTCCTTCGCACCCCCCTCCCTCGTTCCTCCAACGCCCCCTGGGCCGAACTTCGCCCTCCTCACTCCTCCCTCGCCCTCGTCCCTCCTCCCTGCCCCTTCGACACCCCTCACCCTCCGGGTCAGGAGGGAAGAGAGAGGCCGGGGGAGACACTGGCGGGCGGTGGGGGAGGGCAGTCCTACTCCTCCTCCTCCTCCTCCTCCTCCTCCTCCTCCTCCTGCTCCTCCTCCTCCTCCTCCTCCTCTTCCTCCTCCTCCTCCTCCTCAAGTCCTCCTCCTCCTCCTCCTCGTGCTACTCCTCCTCTCCTCCTCCTCCTCCGCCACCTCCTCCTCATCCTCCTCCTCCTCCTGCTCCTCCTCCTCCTACTCCTCCTCATGTTCCCTCCTCCTCCTCCTCCTCCTCCTCCTCCGCCACCTCCTCCTCCTCTCATCCTCCTCCTTTCTCCTCGTGCTCCTCCTCCTCGTGCTCCTCCTCCTCCTCCTCCTCCTCCTCCTCCGCCTTTCCTTCTTTCTTTCTAAGCAACTCCTCCCTGTCGCACCCGAGGCCTTTTCGAAACGTCGTGCCAGGCGTTTCGCGTGAGACTTCCTCACCATGTATGACCCTGAAGCTTAGAACTTGGCAGCAGTTTTGCAGATGGAGGGCAGGTGGTTTTCAACATGTGGTTCTCGGGTGAGCGCCGCGCATATTCAGTTAAAACACTTGCACTAATTTCACATACAGAAGACGGGTACTTTTCAAGATGTGGCTCTCGCGTTGTGCGCATTCATTATACATTCAAAAGAGTTACACGGGTTGAAGGCGGTTCCATTTAAACCGATGGCTTTCGCATTAGCGCCGCGTGCATTCGATTTAAACATTCACAAAGGTTCGCGGGTTAGGGTAAGTTCGTTTTTCAACATATGATTATCGTGCTAGCGCCGCGCACATGCGCTCTGAAAGCGCAAAAGTTTCACAGAGTGATGGCGGTTCCTTTTCAACATGTGGCTCTCGCCTTAGCGCCGCGCACACTTGTAATACACAGCTGCAAGAGTTCAACTGATTCCCATGACCAGCGTAATTACTAGAAGTGGTGCTTTGAAGGACTCTAGATCGTGAGGGCTTCACAGTTCGGTTGATTCGCGGTGTCGAAGTCCAAAGAAAGGTATTCTTCCACGATGCAGGATCGTCAACACGCGACAGTCAGGTTGATTCCTGGCGTTGGAGTCCCGATCATAGTGCTTTGGCACGCTTCAGGGTCTTCAAACGGTCGTCTCCCAAAGGGCCTATGAAGAAGGAGCTTGGAGGGAGAGTTGATTCCAACATCGCTGATGGGTGTAAACTGGTACTCTCCTCCTCCACTTACACATCCACCTCCCCCTCCCCCTCCCCCCTCTAAATGAGCATCGGTTAGCCGATCCCTATCCCCACTGGCGTGGCCTGGGCCCCACTGCCGATTTACCCCCCTAGTCAAGGGATCTAGGCTCTAGGCTGTTCCTTTCGGTTCTCGAGGGACATATCCCCAACTGGGGTGGTGGGATGGTCGGGATCAGGATGGGGATAGGGCCCCTGTTTTTTGGATCGGCGATGTACCCCGCGGCGCCAGAGGCGCCGCCAGGGTCCAGTGCTGATTCAAGAAATCCGCGCGGACCTCCTACAGTTTATGTTTGTGCAGTTGTTGTTCTTCTTCGAGCGAGGGGGGGAGGCAGAGAGAGAGGCGAGCCTGGAGCGAAAGAGAGCGGTGACCATGGCCAACTCTGAACGCGGAAACGTCGGTCGTAGTCTTGGTCATCGTCCGTACTGGTCGTCGTCGTTTCGTGGACGCCTCGGCGACGGCCAGCATCGACCATGACCAACATCGGCGAGACTCCGCGGGGGCGGCCAAGAGGGGGGCGCCCAAGAGGGGGGCCATGAGATCTGGGGAAACATCATGGCCCACGCCATGATATTCCCCCCCTAGTCATCACCCCCCTCTTCTGGCCATCGCTCGGACGTCCATTCCCTGTTGTTTGTTCGGTTTCGTGCGTGTTTTTTCGGGGATGGACAGACCTCCCTTAGTAAAACGTGGTTTAGTGAAAACGACCTGAGGCCCAAACCTGGCGGGCGCAGGCCTGGAAAATAACGGCCACGGCGCCCTCTCGAGAACCGAAAACGGACAATTCACTAATCGACGTGTCACTATTAGGGGTTCTGTCCACCCCCAAATTTTTTGCCGAATGATCCAGGATGCTCCTCGATGGTCCTCGCCGATGGAAAAATGCACACGTCCGAACGATGCCAAGCCTTGGCCGCCCCCGAACTCCGCGACCTCTCGGCCGTGGCCATCGGCCCTCTCCCCTCGAGAGCCTGCGCGGCTGCCCTCCGCCGACCCCGCCCCGCGACGCCGTGCGCCGCGACCGCCTCCGTAGGGCCAGGTGGGCACCTCGGAGCAGTTCCGGGCCTGGACGTTCATAAAAACGCTGGAGGCGTGGGGCGCTTCGGCTTGTCTTCAAGATCGACGCTCTTTGTTTCCGTTTGGGGAGCCGTTTTTCTGTCCGTTTTGGGACTGCCGTCTCGCCGTTCTCGGTCCGGCTCGCGATCCGTTCTCGGATTGTCTTGCGACTGTCCTCCGACGGCCCCACCCCGAGCCTCTGTGTGCCGGGACCGCCGCCATAGGGCCAGCGGGCAGCTGGGCTGTGCAACTGAATCGCTGCCGAGCGCGGCGGAGCACAGCTGCATCCTCCCCGCGGACAGCGTCGTCCCCGGGGCGGGGCACGTCGCTTGCCGTCGCTCGGACATCCGTTCCCCGTGCACGTTTCGGTTCCGTGCGTGATCTTTTTGCCAGATGGTCCAGGATGCTCCTCGAAGGTCCTCGCCGAGAAAGAAAATGCACACGTCCGAGCGATGCCAAGGTCGCGTCGCAGGGAGGGCAGGCTGGGGTTCGCTGAGGGGTCCAGTCCCGGGGCGGCCAGGTCGGAGCTGGGGCCCCTCGCGGGCCGCAATCCTTCGAGCGGTGCCGTGTGAGGAGTGTGCCGACATGGGTGCGGTGGCGGCATGCAAACGCAGCCACTGGGGCATTCCGTGGAGCTCCCTATGGGGCCACGAAGCGTGTGAGGGGTGTGCCGGAATTGGCGCGGTGGCGCCATGCGAGCGCCGCCACTGCGGCCTTCAGTGGAGCTCCCTGGGGGGCCACGAAACGAGGAGCGTGCCGGCACGGTGGACCCTGCGGAGGGCGGAGGCAGGGATGGGAGGAGGGAGGAGGGGGAGGAGGAGCGAGGAACGCGGGGCACCGTCTCTTCGAAGCGAGGATCCAAGACCACAGGAGGTTTGGGACAGGTCGAACCGCCAAGGCCTCAGGGTTTAGCATTAGGTCGGGCGTGTCCCCCTACACTCGGATTTTGGACGAAGACTGAACAACGTATTCAAAGCATGCACGAAACATATTCTAAAATACTATGTTTGACTATTTTGCGACTATTTTGTGACAAAGCATGAACGACAATAATTCCCTTTCTATTTTGTGACTATTTTTGAATATTCCCCCTGTAGAGGGACGTGCCCGACTTACGTTTAGCAGCCCCCGACTCCTCCACGCCGGGGCCGGGGACCCCCTCCGACGCCTCCTCCGCCAGGCGTCGCGCCTTGAACGCCCGCGGCCGACGAGCATAGCTCGTCGGCCGCGGGCCAGGGCCCCGTGGCGGAGCTCGGGCAGGAGGAGGAGGAGGAGGGGGAGGAGGAGGACCACGAGGAGGAGGAGGACCACGAGGAGGAGGAGGAGGAGGACCACGAGGAGGAGGAGAAGGAGGAGGAGGAGGAGGACCACGAGGAGAAGGACCACGAGGAGGAGGAGGAGGAGGAGGAGGGACCACGAGGAGGAGGAGGAGGAGGAGGAGGAGTAGGAGGAGAGGAGGAGGAGGAGGAGCGAGGAAGAGCGAGGGGAAGCGAGGAAGAGGAGGGGAAGCGAGGAGGAGGAGAAGGAGGAGGAGGAGGAGGAGCGAGGAGGAAGAGGGCCCTCGCCTGCACGGCGAGGGCCCTCCTTCCCGGCGGCCGCGGCGGCAGCGAGCCGGTGCTTCTTCAGCCCCGCCGCCCTAAGCGGCGATGCTTCGGCCTCCGGGGGGGAGGGCCGCCTTGTCGAGCCTGCAGGGGGGGCCAGCAACACAGGGATCCGGGAGGACGACGCATGCCCGTCGGTCGGAAGAAGGGGGGTAGCGCAGGGCTCGACCTACACAGTGTTTTTCGTTTCCGTTTTGTGTTCGTTGTCCCTCGTCTTGTGTCTCCAAGCCGCCCTCACTGCAGCACGCGGTCGAAACGAACACGGCCTACGAGATCGCCAGAACACCGTTCGGGTCCCCCCCTGGGCCAGCGCGTCGCCGCGGCGACTCCAGCGACGCCCACTGCCCCGCGGGCGGGTGGCGTGCTGCTCGGCTCCGCGGGGCCGGAGGCGGCGAGGGAGAGGCCCGGGGCGTGGGCGCGCGGGGACCGGCGAGTGGCCGGCACGTCGCGCCGACGCGCGGGGAGCCGGGGCCCGCGGAGCGGCACGCGATCCAGGCGGGGCGCCGTCGGTCGGAGACACGGGGCATGGGAAGGCGCGGAGCATTGAGTCAGGCGTTGCGCCTGCAGGATGGACTCACCACAATCGTGATCTTTACCGTCGGGCCTGCGACCGAATTCGCAGGAGCCTCCGGAGGTCCTGAGATCGGTCTGCGCGTGCTGCGTGGACCCTGCGGACAAACCGATGCTGGGGCAAATCAGTTCGGCGGTCGATCCCGTAATTACTCGAGAAAGTCGATTGGGCTTCCGCCCGCCCCCAGAGGACGAGGAAGGCCACTCCACTCCTGAAGTAGGAAGGCGCCTAGAAAGTAGATCGGAACTGGGGCATCCAAAAATACCTGCTTTCAACGATCGACTCCCCCAGGGGAGGGGTCGGGGGACCTCTAGGCTGTAGGCATTGAAAAATACACATGGCCAAATGTCTGGGCCGCTCCTCTCCTCCCCGTCCCGGCCAAGCTCGCATGCAAATTTCGCAGGGGCACGGAACTGCCTAAGTTGTGCTCTACCTGGCGCACTGCTGGATTACTTCCAAGCGGCCTGTACCTTTTGCATCCTCCTCCTCCTCCTCCTCCTCCTCCTCCTCCTCCTCCTCCTCCTCCCCCGCGACCCCGAACCGCCACGATGATGATAGCCCAGGGGGTAGCCGTCGGGGCAGCTTGCCGCAGGCAGGTGCAAACAAATGCCACGCTTATCTGGACGTTAATTCGATCTCCACCGCGTCAGGAGACACACCGTATTCCTCTGGACCAGAAAACAAACGACAGCACCCCACCGACGGCCCCACGGGGCTAACGTATACCAGGAAATCTGGCACGGGTCCTTGCGCGATATACGCCACGCCCCCGGATGGGCTGTAGCGCAACATGGAAACGTAGGTGGGGTGGTGCCGTTTGTTTGTTGGTCGATCCTCCGCGACGGACTTTTTGATCTCCTCCAGCGTCTCCGCGTACAAATCTGGATTCTCGAGGAGCATCTCGTACCTCGCTTGTCTTCGGAAATCTCCAAAGTATGGTGGTCACGAGTGACGATCACGAACCACACTGATAACCGATAACCGTGACCGGACCGAACAAGGCAAAACCGGGAACATCAAAGACCGAACAAGACCGAACCGAACTTCCGCATGATTAACCGAACTGGTTGAGACCGAACCAGACCAAAACCAGTACCGAACCAGAACTGGACGCCCCCCTGCCAAAACGACATGAACCGAATTGGACGCATGCACTGAACTGACACCCCCTTGACCTCATCTCCCCGGCCTCCCCAGAACCCCCTGCCTGGCCCCCCAGACCTGGACCCCACGAGACCCCGGGACTCCCCCGACGAACCCTCCCGGACCCCCCCGGACCCCCCCCCCAGGGCCTCTCCGGAGTCCCCCAGACCCCCCGCACACCAAGAGACGGCCTTTCCCCAGGGCCGGTTTCTCATCCTGCGTCGCTTTCAACGGCTCCAGGGCCTGGCGAAGGCCCCCCAGTGGGGCCGAAAATAAAACGACACGATCATTGTCTGGGACCCCGGACCAGACCGCCCCGGACCCCCGCCGACCCCCCCGGACCCCTCGAGCCCCCCTGACCCCCCTGGACCCCCGCGACCCCCCCGCGGCCCGCGGACTCCCCCTGACCCCCCAAGACCTCCCCAAATTCCCCCGGACCCCCCTCGGACTCCCCCGGGCCGGCCCCCCGGGACCTCCCGGACCCCTCGGTGTCCCCCCGCATGCGCTCCCCCGGACCCTCATGCACGGACCCCTCGGACCGCCCGTACTCTCCCGGAACCCCCATGGGCAGACTCCACCAGACCCCCCCCAGACCCCTTGCCCACCCGGGACCCCTTCGGACCCCCGGGTCACCACCCCCTGACCCCGCGACCCCCCTGACCCAACCTAACCCCTCCCTGACCCCGCTCCCTTGGCTCCCTGACTAGGGCGTGCGCCAGTGTTAGCAGCTTCTGAACGCAATACATCCCCTAGAACGCCACACTTTTTCTGAACGCCATACACTTCCTGAGCGCCAAACTCCATGTTTAGGCTTGGGAAAGCCAGGTGTGGGTATGCGCATGGATTGCTCGCTCGGTTGCATCTGCTTTCTTCCTTGCGTGCGTGAACGCTCGCTTGCTAAGCCACGCACTTGCATGCTTCCTTGCTTGCCCCCTGTTTCCTTGCTTGATCGCTTGTTTCGTGCGGAAGCCCATGGATTCCAAGAAAGAGGATCGAGGATCGAGGGGGAGGAGGAGGAGGAGGAGGAGGAGGAGGAGGAGGAGGAGGAGGAGGAGAAGGAGGAGGAGGAGGAGGAGAGAGGAGGAGGAGGAGGAGGAGGAGGAGGAGGAGAAGGAGGAGGAGAAGGGGATGTGCTTGCAGAGCAAATCCGAGGGAGGCTCGCAGCAGTGCAGATGTCATGGTGGACACACTGCCCAGTGCAGCAGGAGGCCGCCGACCCCAAGAGAGAGCGACGGCAGGCCAGATCCGAAGCAGCGTTCAATCATTTCGTGGAAAGCACCTCCCACTGGCCAATTCTCGAGGGTGAGTTTGTCAGGTGCAGCAGGTGCCAGAAGTGGACGCAAAGATGTCGAACCGCTCGGTGGCTGCGCCGAGAAAAGCACCTCCCACTGGCCAACTCTCGAGGGTGAGTTTGTCAGGTGCAGCAGGTGCCAGAAGTGGACGCAAAGACGTCGAATTGCTCGGTGGCTGCGCCGAGATTGTGTTTGCCCGAAGCCCCTCCATGTCCGTCAGCAGGGCAGTCGTGATTTCAGCCAGCCTGCCCTTCCGTCCGCCAACAGATCCGACGGACAGATTGTACCACGGCCAGTCGGAGGTGTGAGTAGCTCTGACGGAAGCTCGAAGATCCGCCCCAGCCACCAACCCCACCCTGCGTTCTGTCGGGGGGTCTCGTGGTGTCGGAGGTGTCGGTCCTGGAGGGTTCGGGCCTCCCGTAAGCTTAGAGAAGCCTGCCAACCCCATCCCACAAGTCAGAGCGCGGGGAGGAAGGCAAAGCATAAGCTCACACATGAGAAGCTCCCCCCAGGCCTCAAATAATGGCCTGCAGGGGACCTGTGAGCCCAGGTCGGGTCCCCTTAGTGTGTAAGGATCAAGGACCGCAGATCGCAGCCGCTCGCGGAGGAGGAGAAGGGGGAGGAGGAAGGAGGAGGAGGCAGGAGGAAGAGGAGGGGGAGGAGGGGGAGGAGGGGGAGGAGGAGGAGGAGGAGGAGGAGGAGGAGGAGGAGGAAGAGGAAGCGGAGGAGGAAGAGGAGGAGGAGGAGGCGGAGGAGGCGGAGGAGAAGGAGAAGGAGGAGAAGGAAGGAAGAGGAGGCGGAGGAGGCGGAGGAGGAGGAGGAGGAGGAGGAGGAAAGAGGAGGAGAAGGGGGAGGAGAAAGAGGAGGAGAAGGAGGAGGAGGGGGGAGGAGGGCGAGGAGTACGAGGAGGAGGCAGATCGAGGAAGAGATCGCGGGGAGGATGATCTAGGAGGATGAGGGCTCAGGATCGAGGATAGCTCATGATCGAAGAGGATCAAAGATCAAAGAGGATTGAAGATCGATGAGGAGGAAAAGGATTCAGCCCGAGGAAGGTCGACGCTCGATGACGAGGAGATTCCCCCGGACGCCGTTGAGTGTTTTCCATCGGCGACATGTTTCGGTGTAGCTACTGCAGGGCCCCCGCAAAGCTCACGTTGTATCAACTGCAAGTGTGCAGCTCAAACAACCGCGCCGCGCCCCCCGCGTGTCCCATATGGTGATGACACGCCCTACGTGAGAGCTTCAACCACGACTCAAAAACGTCTTTACGTTTCCGAACGTCAAACCACATCTGAACGGCATACATTATCTGAACGTGATACCGTTCGAACGCCCAACTCCACGGGAATTGCGCGACTTACGTGAGTCCTCTGTAAGTCACATCGTGACATACGGGAGACTTGTCAATGAGTTAGCAACGACCTGTAAAATACTTACACATCCGCCGACCCTGTCGGCGTGTGGGTGAGGCTTTTCCGTCTTCCCCACTCCGAGGGCTCCCCACACAAGTCCACACAAAAATTGAACGTCGTCGTCCATCAATCGAAGGTAAGCCCCTTCCCTTGATCCCTTCCCTGCCAGGGGGGGGGTCCCAGGGCAACTCCCGGGGGGGGTCCCCCCTCACTCCCGGGGGGGGGGTCCGCCCTCAAATACGCAGCCCCCCGCCTCTCATCCTCCTGCGTCCTGGGGCTGCGTTGGCCCTCCGGGGCCGTCTGCGGGCCCTTTCAGCCCATCTTAAGGCTCCTTGGAGACCTTTCGCCATTTCTAGAAACTCTCGACAGCCTCTGGCGGCACTCTTGACAGCCTCTGCGGGCGCTTTTGGACCTCGCTTGACGCCGTCTTCGAACCCTCTCTCGGGCCACTTGAGGGCGCTCTTTGCCTATCTTGGTACTCTCTGGAAACGGTTCCCGAACCCTGGAGGAGGCCTCTTGAGCTGTCTTCGGAAAACATTGCAGGCATCTGGCGCCGTCTTCGAGTCGTCGCTGCCTACAGGGTCAGCGGCATCGGCCGTAAGGCCTTCGCAATCTTGAGTCAGTCCCCCGCACCTGGTGGTCTCCAAACCAGGTGGTGAGACACCCGGTGGTGACCCCGATTCCCCCAACAAATAATTCTGGGTCGCCACCGGGTTTGGGGACACGCGGTCGCCACGAGGTTTTGCGTTTCCTGGGCCAGCCAGCGCTCGAAAACCACTACCCAAATCGCCCAAAACTCACCACCGGGTGTTCTCACCACCACGTTTGGGGACCACCAACGCACGCCCGTGACCCCCCCGCGGACCCCTGGGGACTACCCGGGACGGGACCCCTCTGGAACCCCTGGACACCCCCTGACCTGCTGGGACCCCCCAGGACCCCCCCGACCCCCCTGACCCACCCTAACCCTTCCCTGACCCCGCTCCCTTGGCTCCCTGACCCGTTACCCCCTGCAAACTGAAATAATCGAACCGAACCGTTCGGAAAACCGGAGCCGAATCGAACTGCAACCGGATCCAAATCGAACCGGCCAAAACCGAACCGGTGTCAAACCGAACCGCCGAATTAACACCAAACCAGGGCGCAAACCAGCCCGAACCAGGCCAAACCACGGCCACGATGCCAGAGATCCCTCGACGACTGCAGGGGGCAGACTCCTGAGGGCCTCTGGACTCTAGAGGCCCTGAGAGACCCGATGACGTCCCCCAAAAAATGGACCCTTGAAAAGGACCAGGAGGAGGAGGAGGGGTGGAGGAGGAGGAGAAGGAGGAGGAGGAGGAGGAGGAGGAGCAGAGGACCAGGAGGAGGACCAGGAGGAGGACCAGGAGGAGGACCAGGAGGCGGACCAGGAGGCGGAGGAGGAGGAGGAGGAGGAGGAGGAGGAGGAGGAGGAGAAGGTACTCCAAGTGATCAATCTTGAATGTGTGCAGGTCCTCTGTAACCTTGATGTGCTTCACCAGTGTGCGTGTCACCGTCGTTTCGCTGACCGTTGTCGTCGATGGCGGGGACGTCTTGCAAGAATATGTCGCGGACTCTCCCGCGGCAATCTCCGGGTCGGTCGTCCTGCGCAGGTAGTACCTCCCGCCAGGCCACTCGGCAACCCCAAGGGCCAGAAGGAGGAGGAGGAGGAGGAGGAGGAGGAGGAGGAGGGGCAGAGCGCCGAGGACATGACGGTACCAAGTGAGAGGAGGGCGATCCAATGAGTCAGGAGGGGGGCCCGGGGGTACAGTCCAGTTACTGCTCGAAGTGAAGGGGCCCTGGGACACACACAAATAAATAGACACAAATGAAAGGATTCCCCATACTTGCGTATATTTCCAGTGTTTTTGTCTTCCCCCACTTTCCATATTTTCGAGTATTGTCTGGGGAATCGACGATTCACTGTGTCTGTGTGTCTTTCCCCTCCTGCAGAAGGAGCTCTGCACAACGAAACGCCGAGAACGCCTGGGTGCACGAGGAAGACTCGAGGAGCGGCCACGGAAAAGCCTAGAGGAGCAGCGAGCCCCCCTCCCGAAGCCGACGTGTGCTCCTTATATGGCGTCCTGCCTGTGCGGAGGGATGGGGAAATCGGGAAGCAACGTCTTCTTCTTCTCCTCCTCCTTCTTTCTCCTCCTCCTCCTCTCCTCCTCCTCCTCCTCCTCCTCCTCCTCCTCCTCCTCCTTCTCCTCCCTTTCCACCTCCTTTCCTACCTCCTCCTCCTCCTCCTCCTCCTCCTCCTCCGAATCCTCCCTCCTTCCTTCCTCCTCCTCCTCCTCCTCCTCCTCCTCCTCCTCCTCCTCCTCCCTCCTCCTCCTCTCTCCTCCTTCTCCTCCTCCTCCTCCTCCTCCTCCTCCTCCTCGAATCCTCCTCCTCCTCCTCCTCCTCCTCCTCCTCCTCCTGGACGGTCTTCGTCAGAACGGCTCGGGGCGATCGAACAATGTCAGAAGGGCATTCAACTGGATGAGACCAGACTGGGCCAGGTGCTAAGCCAGAGTAAGCGGGATCGCGCGAAATTCGGCGGGACTCTCCTGGATCAGGCCTGTGCTTGACAACGGACATGCTGGAGCCGATACTGAATCCCACCAGCCCTTTAGGGCGTAGGTGGTTTAGAGAGCGTTCTCTTCCAACCCCCTTCTGCCTCTTCAGGGAGGGGTTTACCCCTCCCCCATACCCTCTCCCAAGGACCTGCAGGGGGGGGGTTCGCGAGTCGTTGGAGCGTCAAAGATGGCCCAAGATGGCTCCAAGAGGAAATCAGAGAGCCCAAGATGACTTCCGAGATGGCGCAAGATAGCCCAAGATGGCTCCAGAGGGCTCCAAGAGGCCCCAAGACCGCTCCAAGACTGCCTCCCCAGGAAGCTTCAAAGCCATAGGAAAATCAATGAATTCGGCCTTCTCGCCTTTTTGCGTTCGATGTTTCACAGCGGCAAGGCAGCGCCCGCCCCCTCTTCCTCTTCGTCCTCCTCCTCCTCCTCCTCCTCCTCCTCCCTCCCTCAGCCTCCCTCCCTCCCTCAGCCTCCCTCCCTCCCTCCCTCCCTCCCTCTCTCCCTCCGCGCCGACCCCGCGCACCTGCCGTCCGACGCCTTCAAGACCACGGCACACTCTGGCAGGATACCGCACGCCCGCCAGGCCTCCCGGGGGGGGGGAGGGCGGCGGCGGCCCGTGGGGCGACCCGGCGTCTCTCCCGCCGGAGGCTGACTACCTGCCAGAACCACCCCAATCGAACCAGAAGACCCCAAGTTCCTATAAATATGTATTTCTTGCATATGTATTTCTTGAATGTTTTCCATATAGATACGGTTTCCATATCAATACGGTTTCCATCTAAATACGGTTTTCCTATATATAAACATGTATTTCTTGAATAAGACCCCAAGTTCCTACGGTTTCCATATAAATATGTATTTCTTGAATGTTCCCCCACGCCTTCTCTTCCACCAGGAGTGGAGGGCAGATTGGGGCCTTCGGGTTGGGTTGGGGTGGTTCGGTGGGTGGCGAGAGTCGATCGCGCAACAGTCCAATCGCACAAGAAGGATGCGCGGCAAGGATGCAAGGGCCTGGGAGGGACACGTTGGCATTTTCGGACGGGGCTGGCCGACGAAAGTCGCCCAGGGTGGGCCGACGGGGCAGGGATGCAAGGGCAGCCTTGGAAAATTACTCATCCTTACTATGCGCCTGGACTTTACAGTCGAGCCTGATTGGAGAGGACACGCGAGAGGACACAAGAGCCTTCCGAGGGCCACATTGCCCCAGGAAGGCAGAAGGCATGGGGCATGGGTCGCGAGACACGAGACACAAGGGTACACTTGGTTTGGCAGGGTCGACCTCCTCATCAAACTCGACAATGAGACGACGGCGATCATTGGTTCTGCAGCGGAACGCTCTCAGAGCGTTCCGGCACGCTCTGAGAAGGCCGCGGCGCCCGACAGATTCTCCAGAACCGCCGGATCTCAGAGATTATCAGTGTATCCTCACCCGATGATTTCTTCGTTCTGGCTTCGTCTAAGTACGTTGGGATGCGGAGGAGGAGGAGGAGGAGGAGGAGGAGGAGGGAGGAAGAGGGAGGACGAGGGAGGAGCGAGGGAAAGAGGAGGAGGAGGAAGCAGGAGGAGGAGGAGGATGGAGGGAGGAGGATAGGAGGAGGGCGGACGGACGAAAGGGAGCGAGGAGGAGGAGGATGATGATGAAGAGGAGGAAGGAGCGAGGAAAGAGCGAGGGAGCGAGGAGGAGGAGGAGGAGGAGAAGGAGGAAGAGGAGGAGGAGGAGCAGGAGGACTCAGTGATCCCCGATTTGCCCCGGCCCGATGTTGCCCCTGACCTGGCTTCGTCTAACAAGAGGCCATCGGCGGCGCTCGGCCACGTCCCCGTCGTCGCTGTCGTCCCCCTCCCGACTCACGGGCTGGCCCAGGCAGCGACAAGGAGGAGGAGAAGGAGGAGGAGGAGGAGGAGGAGGAGGAGGAGGAGGAGGAGGAGAGGGCATCTTGGCAGCCTCTGGGGGCACTCTTGGGGCCTCCTGGGCGACGGCAAGCCCCCAGGCGGCCCCAGTCCTATCAGAGACCCTCGGCGTCCCCCTCGATCGGAGAGACGCAAGACTCGGGTTCGGGGGACTCGGGTTGGTCTGACGGGGCCGCCATGAGAATGACGAGACCCAGGCTGAGATTTGACGCGAGCTCCCGCTGCAGACATCCCACGAAAACTGGACCGTCAACATCCAGGGCGGGCTCGTCCAAAAACGTAGGCGAACCCGAATTCCGGCTTACTCGAGTCCTACGTTTCCCCGACTTGAGCACGAAAGAAACGGATCCAGCTCGACGTTCGAGCATCGAGCCACGAGCCCTTCTGGGCCCCGGGGGCGTCCCCCGCCGCCGCAGATCGACACAGCCCGAACAACTCTATAACAGGAACGGACCCAAGGCAGGGGAGGAGGAGGAGGAGGATGAGGAGGAGGCGGAGGAGGAGGAGGAGGAAGAGGAGGAAGAGGAGGAGGAGGAGGAAGAGGAGGAGGAGGAGCGGCCCAAGGACCGATTAGGACCCCTTTGCTGGATGGCGACGTGGAGGCCATCAGCGGTCCCGGCTACAAGAAGAACCATCTGCACACGCATACGTACACTTTCGGAGGTCTGCACGGATTTCGCGAATCGGCAGTGGACCCACCCCCCCTGGCGCGTGGAGCGCGTCATGGGTGACGCTTGAGGCGCCACCAGGGGGGTCCGGCGCCCATATATCCAAGAAGTCCGCTTCATGCATACTAATTCTCCTCGATGCCCCTGGCGGCATGCGGAAACCGCCGAAATGCCACCCGAATCCCGGAAACCTCCGGTGTTCTTCGATATCCCTCGGTATCCCTCCGCCTCCCCAGCTTCCGCGCTTCTCCACCTCTGCCATTATTTGCATCATCTCCGCCGCCACAACCACCACCTCCCCCAGGTCACCTGTTACCGCGCTCTGCGCCGCGCGACGCGCAATTCTCGTCACGCCTTGCGGGAGCCCCAGGTACGCAAACGTTATCCATCTTGGTCGTTGTCTTTCTCCTCATGTGTTTTTCGTCTTCCTCTTCCTGTTCTGTTTCTGACTCATCCGCTTCCATGTGCCCCACGTCATCCTCATCGTCATCGTAATCACCCATCATCGTCCATCGCCATCACCAACCACCCCCATGAACACCGTCATCATCGCAATGCGCGGCCAATGTGCCCGCAGCCAGAAGTTGTGCGAGCAAGCCACCATCCTCATCCTCACCGTTCATCCGCCGCATGACCATAATCGCAGCCACCGTCACCATCACCATCATCATCACCATCATCGGAATCATAACCGCCATCGCCATCGCCATCATCATCATCATCATCATCATCATCATCATCATCATCATCATCATCATCATCATCATCATCATCATCACCATCATGATCAGTATCATCATCAGCATAAGTATTATCCGCATCATCATCATCATCATCAGTAGCACCATCCTCATCGTCAGCATCAGCATCGGCATCGTTATAATCCTCCTCATCCTCAGCATCACCATCATAATTCGAATATTCATAATGAACTATCAACATCATCGGCATCATCAACATCATCAGCATCCTCATCATCACCATCGTCATCATCATCATCACCATCATCAACATGATCATCATCACCAGCATCATCATCATCATCATCATCATCATCATCATCATCATCATCATCATTATCATCATCGCCATCACCATCACCTTCGTCATCATCACCATGACCATCACCATGGCCATGATCATTAGGATCAACCTAATCATCGCCATCGTCGGCATAGTCACTACTAACGTCACAATTGGAATCTCCATCACCACTAGCACCTCCAGATCTGCTTCAGTTTCAAACCGATCTTCCGCTTGCCGTCGCCTACCGTGCCATTTCGCCTCCGCCCTACTCTAAGGCTTGGCCAGTGGGACCCATGCCGCCTGGGTCGCTAGGCTGACTTGAAGCAGCGCGCGTCGCCTTGGTGCGAGGCGCGCTGCGAGGCGACGCGTCACACACACACACACACACAGGATCTCCTCTGGTTCCAACAGCTCCTCCGCTAGGGCCGCGGCGCAGGCCTGTCGCGCACGCCCGCGCTAGCGCCCCCACCGTCCGTCTCCAGCGCGGCGATGAAATTCCTCTCCTCTCTCCTCCTCCTCCCTCCTCCTCTCTCCTCCTCCTCCTCCTCCCTCCTCCCTCCTCCTCCTCCTCCTCCTCCTCCTCCTCCTCCTCCTCCTCCTCCTTGGATGGAGTTGACAAGTGACTGGCGGACCATTTCGACGAGCGGATCCAAGCCCATGACCAGGACGCGCCCGACCACACCTTCGAGTTCTTGGAGCAGTTCTTGGTCCAGGTGGGCAGCGAGTTTTTCACTAAGCCGTCGGACCTCCCAGACCAATATGCACACTGGGTTCAACTGCGGCGAGACCTTCTAAACAACGAATTGATGTACGTGTCACTCGGGTGAACGCCTCCGACTTGGAGGCAGTCGAGCAGGAGCTGGGGGACCTCTCCCATAGACTGCGCCTCCTTCGTCGGAAGCATCTTCGGACAGCTCGTGAGTCTTATGCTCGGGCGCAACATGTGTGAAATAATGGGGTGGGTTCGGAGAGCAGCTGGGGGACCTGTTCATGGTGGCTGCCTTTTCGACGACGTTCAGTCGTCCAGTGGCAAGGTGGACACAAGCCCTGCGAGACGTTGATCCCACCCTTGCTCTCCTGCGCGCTAAGTGGGACGGCCAAGAGGTCGACCTCAGCTTGTTCTAGTACGCGGACGATTTGTATCGCTACACTCTCATGCCTCTTGGGGGCTCTATGGGATCCTTCCTGGCCAAGCTAAAACACTCTGACGATATCCTCGACTCCCTCCTCCAGGAATACGGGTAAAAGCTAGATCGGGGGAAGCAGGAGTTGACTGTCTGGATCGAGGGGGAGGGGACCATGATGTGTAAACGATGGCTTCGTGGGCCTGGACAGGCCCTCCTCTCGGATTAAGTTCGATATCTTGGACCTCATGTATCCATGCCCCAGGCATCCAGTCAGGAGGTAGCTCGTCGGCATCAGGCCGTACGTGCAGCCTTCTTCCCCGCGGGCGGCTTCTGGTCTCTCAGTCTGCCATGGAAGTTCGCGCGCTCGATTTTGGTGTCATTGGTTCAGAATTCAGCTCTCTGTGGATTGGAGGCGTTTTGGCCCACGAAGAGGCACTGTGCTGGTTTGGACGCCACAGTGGCGCACTATGCTCGCGTGGCCATGCGCGGGCGTGCCAGCTGGAAGACGGAGGCAGGAGCGACCCGCACGTCGACGTCAAAAGGTGGCCTCCAGCATTGGCGCATCTGCGAAACGTACGTTGAGCTCGGCGTTAGGCGGTCGAACTGGTACTCAAGGCCTGGGCCCGCTTTCCCTCCAGCCACCTGCAACTGCTCTCGGCCCTCCCTCTTCGGTTCGGCACCCTCCGAATCGCAGCCGGCGCCCATGGTCGAAGGGACTCTTGCGTCAAAGGTTTCCCCGTGGGTTCGTCTTGTCGCTGAAGATTTCGTGATCGCGAGGATCTCCTGGGTTCCCTCGCTGCCCGCCCTGGCCTCATGTGGGACCCCGAGGTTCAGGAGGAGCTTGATCAGATCGACTTTA